AAAAATGTAGCTATCTCAAATTGTGTGTGTACTTCAACGTATTAATGACTTTCAAATTATTATTAATGGTTTCTTGAACTTTTGCCACACATCAAGAGCTTCGTAACCCGTACTAGAACTAAAAACTGTGTTAAGTCAATTAAATCACTCACGATAGGTAAGTGGATGATTTGACGAATATTACTTCGTTGACCTTGAAGTAAAAAAAAAAAACAAAAAATGCTATCTGCCTTGTTTTTTCAAGAGCTACACTTCTGTTGCATTGCTTTTTCAAATTTCATGGTGTAAGTATGTTAGAAAAAATAAAAAAGCTTTATTTTCCTAAAAACTCGTGTTTTGACCTTCGATTTGGAGCTCAAAATTTTTTTTTTCTCGAATTGGACTATTTTTCCCTTAATCTACTTAACAAAAGCTTCAAAATGCCGTTCCCCGATTTTCTCTAACCCTTTTAGATCTTGAGTTATTTGATTTCGTTCAAAGTTGGGCGAAAATTCCTATAGTGCGTCGTATATGAAGAGACCCCATCGCTGCCAGGACCACCAGTTGGAGCCATTCCGGCGGCAGCACCAAGGGTATCGACGAGCACCCAGACTGATAGTATACCCTTCAATACTGAATGGCGCTCAGATTTTCTCCACCAGCCAACAGCGACGGGTAGTCACCGGTCATGGGAGGAGATAGTCAAGGGCTTGAGGGAGGTTGAGCAAGGCTGTACCACTCTCAACTCACTTCAGCGAGCCGTATACGCTGAATTTGACGCATTAACGATTAAGGGACACCGCCCCAGCGATCTAGATCACTGGAGCAAGTTGGTGTCTCGTCGTCGCCAGTTTGCTGCAGCGTTAAAGGAAGTGTAGCATCGACACCGCCAGGCCCTCGAGGGCCCGGGTGGCGACCGATCTTCGGCTACCCACTAACCTCCGGTGAGCAAGGCACCAATTCTCCCCCGCACGGCGACCTAAAACCAAAACCAACGGACGTGCGGGGTAAACCTGGTGGTCAACCTCAACAGGTAGCGTGGGCAAAGGTACGGGACCTATTCATATTAATTTGGTGGTGGGGTTCACGGACAAAGCGCCTTTGGCGGAGCTACCGCTATGGTTCGCATTCAATCGGGATGGGCTGCCGTTAACCCCACGAGAACGAGGACTTCCACGAGGTACTATGTCGCGGGCACAGAGGGAAGGCTGTAATATTTGCGACTACCCCGGCGTGAGCCGCGCAGATCGGTGCCCTCGCGCTCGGCAACATCCGGAGATCGTGGCCGAGTGATTCGATTAGGAGGCACGTGGACGCCCCAATCTGTATGAGGAAGGGTACAAAGAAGCAGCCCTATGATACTCTCGACCATCTTTGTAAAGGTACCTGCCCCTGCGGGCAGGACCTACCCCGGTTCATACCCGGTCAATAAAGAGTATACCCATCAATACAATTCTGCGTTGCTTTTTATTTACCTTACCTCGAGGTGAGTAGCGCAAACGATTCTCTCGTCAAGGACCTCGTGGCTACAGACTGAAACGGAGCTGTAACGTTAAACGTCCGGTTCGCGCTACCGGCTCGATCGCGTGGCTGCCTACGAGGGCAGCACCTACCAGCTGGGAGACGTGCTGCTCGAGACGTCACCAGGTCGACGTGTGTCATGCGTCGTGGTGCTCGTGGTGGTGGTAGTGGACGCGAGACAATGACCTGACAAACCATCACACACGCCCGCGCGCACATTGAACAGTAAAAAGAGCTCGAACCTCGGAATAGTCATGCGCGCAGGCGCGCGAACGGGAGGCTGGAGTCTACAAATTGAGACCAGCTTAGTCCCGGCCCCAAGGATGTTGATTGTTGGCCGCCCGACGTCAGAGATCGTTCTTGAATAAACGATACCGGTCATGGCGCGGCGACTGGCGTCAGAGAAGCCGTGAAGCTGGATTGTTTGACCGGGCGTGAATGCAAGCCAGCAAGGTATGACGAAGCCACTCATTGAGCTCAGGTTGCCTCTGATCTCCTTCCACTTGTCTGTCCAGGGCCGGGGAAGCTCTTCGTCCCAGGTGAGCTGGGCTCTCCAGATGTCCTGTATGACGAACTTGGCCGTGAGAGTGACTGGCGTGAGCCACCCGAGAGGATCGAAGACTCGAGCTAACTCGGCTAAAGCTTACCTCGTGGTGAGGGGGTCCTAACTTGAGGCCACAGTTCAGAGCATGACGCCGCCGCAGTGCGTCGCGTTGATCGGTGGGCCGCGTGCGAGACGGTGTCGAGTCAGTTCGAATAACGTTGACCCGAGCATCAAGCTTCAGCAGTGGGTGGGGGAGGGGGGTCCTGTCGTGTGACTGAGCCGCTTGCGTAGCGGAGAGAATGCCATTGGCGAATCTGCCGAAGCAAATCGTCTTGGTGCCTTCTGGCCCATGGGGCGTTACGTGTCGCTCTTACTGCCATGTTGGTAAGATGGCCGCTGGCAGCGTCAATGCGTTCTCGAGGAGAGCGCAGCTGATCGCTGATCTCGTCTGGCCACGCGCAAGATAACCGTCCGTATATGAGTGTGGCCGATCACCATAAAAGTCTAGCGCTCTTTGCATGCCGTTTCAATCGTTGTCGTACTCACCGTCTGAGCGTGCTTTGTCGTCCCATCGATGGGCCCGAGAACAACGCACTGTGTCGGTACTCACTTTGATTGAAGAGGGGTGTCGAAGTCAAGTGAATCGGCGTGAATCACTGCTTGGGTGGTCGTCGTCGTTGACTTGTCCGATCGCTCCACGTTGGTTATTTATCCGGCTCGAAGAACCATGTATTTTCCAAAGGTTTGTGGCATTGAATAATACATTCATGGTTTCGTACTGACGAAGCATGCAGTAGCTCGCATAAACGACAATTGACTGACTGAAGTGGGGGCCGAGAGTTGAGAAGCATGCGCGGATCAGGTGCGCGATGGGTAGCCCGAATCGCCAAACAGCGCTTATCGGTTGTGCGCCGCACGCTTGCCCTGACCTGTCTATAGTGTGTATTGTACTATCTCTTTCTCTGTCTCTCTTGCTTCCACTGCTGGAGCCCTTCGAGCCTCATCGATCGCTCCTTGACAATGGTCGACGTTGAAACACAAAGGTTAATAGTTTGGCGCAGTTTTATTTTGCGCCCAACCCTGGCCAGTATGCCTTCCCGAGAGAAGAGGAGAGAGAGATAAAGGCTAATGAAAGTAGACTTACCACCTGCCTCGTCACAAAGATAAAAAATTTGTTATAAAAATGAATCTCATGAAGATGACTGCGTGGTCAAGTTTCAAGAAAATTGTACAGAATTGCTTGGGAAATCAGAAGAGTGAAGATTACGAAAATTTGGTTAAAGGTCTATTGAACTTCAAATAATCGGATGATTTAATAAATTTATAGTTGCATTTTTCAGATTCCCATCACAATTACTTTTCAAAAAACTTTGGAGACTATAGCGAAGATTAGAGGGACCGGTTTAATCAAAGAAATGAAACGTCGGTATCAAGAAAAATAGAATTTTAATATGATGACAGATTTTTGTTGGATACTTAAGAGAGAAAAATGTAAAACAGAAAGAGAAATCCGCTGTATAGATCTATTAAAGACATAGGAGTTCGTCACAAAAAAAATAGGGTTTTTAATTCTTCAAATTTTTATATCCCGAAATGTTGTTAAAAAAGTAATGTAGTCCTGTGAAGACACGTTTTTGTATCTTTGCAAATTTTATATGAATCCTCTATATCGAAAAACATAAACTATATATATGTACGTAACATTTCCCGATCTCTTAAAATCTGTAGTCAATATTTCTTTTCTTGTAATATAAATATATTTTACCTTAAACTAACCATGAATTTGGCGTGATGGGGTTAGTCAAATCTTGGATTCAATTTCAGAGGCCTTAAAAAACAGAGAAACTTTAACCATCTCTTCTCAAACAACATTTTTCGAAATTTCACATTTGAATTCCCTTGAACCTGAGATGTTAGCATTAAACGAGCTCCGAATTCATATTCATCTTTGAATCTATATTGCTGGCATAATGAAATTCTTAAAGCTATTAATTTTAAATTAATTCATAATTGGAATATGATATGAAGGACAGTTACTTCGCTCACTTCTTGGTGTTCAAGTAAAACGTTAAGACCTAATTATTATTAATATGCAATTACTTCCAATATAAATTGATTTTACAAACTTGCTAGTGTTGATTTCATTGAAAATTTAGTGGTAAAGTTTGTCTGTTCTTTTCGCGGATCACGAATTCGCACGCACGTGATTTCGCCCTCGATGGCGAAACCTCACACCCACACACTGGATTCCGCAGGGAACGACGCTGCTTCAGCTGGCTCAGGTCTGCACTCCGTATAGCTCGGTAACCACCTTTTGTTGATCTCTGGGACACGTACGGGCAATCAGGTCGCGAACCTCAATTTCTGTGGCCTCCGTATCGATAGCTGATTCTTCACTGGTTCGTTTTCAATCGCGCGCGTTCCGTCTGCTCGCGTGCCGAATTCCGTCGTTACATTTTTCGTCTCCTGGTAAGTGCTGCCCCCGCAGACAGCCACTAGGTTAGGCAATTAGCGCTAATTTGACATTTGCCGTCACAATAAATATCATGTAAAATACAGCTGCTCCCGTTACCTTTCCATATTTAAACGAAACACTGATATTAGACATTTGATTCTACGAAACAGGAATTTACAATCGAGTATTTGTGTATAAAGTTATGTTTCAATATCCAAAACGCAACTCCCTAATTTGAAAAAATAATTTCCTATAGGAATTTGCAATTTTTTCCAATCAACTTGGCTCACACAATATTTTATAAAAAAAGTATAAATTATAAAACTATGACCTAAAAAGTGTAATTAATTTCTAAAATTTAATACTTTGAAGATATTTTAGCTTTTCTTGAAATGAATTTAGTTATTTTTCTCTATAAAATAAATTAGCAATATATCGATATCTGTAAATGTTTATATCTTGTGGATTTATATAAAATATTTTATATTCAAATATTTCCAGTTGAACGCGTGGCGCTCATTGCTAGATTCGTCAATTCAACGCCAATAAAAAACTGTATTCCCTTGCAAACATCTTTAGCACAATTATTCTGCTATCTTATAAACAGTATGGACGATATAAATACCTATGTAGCTCAGAAAGCAACACTTTATCTTTGCACCATTCATGATACTGCTATGAAAGTGAGTACATGATACCTTTCATAAACTTAAATATTGAAGCTATAAATAATAACATCATAAAGTAATGTGAACGATGCATTAAATTATTTCAGAAATGTTAAATAGTTTACAACGATTATTATTGAATTAAATAACCTTCAATTATGAATAGGTATAACATATACTTGAAGATCATAAATTATTGCGTGCGAAATCGACTGAGTAATAATTATTTATTTTTTGTGGATTTTTACTATTAAAATGAGGCTATATTGGCATTCGAGCACAAAATGAAAAAGTTTTATTGTATTGGTAGTTAGACATACATTTAACTCAATCAATGAACAATAACTTACAATTTACGTGATAAAACAAGGATATGTAGTAATTTAGAATAAAATTTAACACATTATCTTAATCATAAGAAAAAAAAGAGAAAGAACGAATAGAAGAACGAAGTGTGAAGCGTGTTCATTTTGCCCTTTCCATTTCAATGAGCTATCAACTCGTACCGATAGTGATCGCATATGCACGTCCAACTACTTTGAATTAAGAGGAGAGAAAGAGAGAGAGAGAAACAAAGATAGATGACCCCACAGTTGATGACCAAAGATTAGCTTGTGTTGCGTGAATGTGTCGCAAAGTCGGCAAAACTCACAGGACGGTGTTTTGTTGGAACAGCTGTTATACAGAATTGTTGGTATTTTGACAGTATACGTAATTTGCCAGAGCCGCGGATATACACTTTTCCTCTTTCTCAAAAATCTGATCTTACATGGCTTTATTTTATTGAGCAGCAAATATAGCTGTTTTCACAAAAATTGAAGCCATGAGTCTCCGTCTCCAGCTACATCTATCTTCCGTCGACTATAACTTCAAAGCTAATCATCTGTAAGATAAAGTACCTTTACGGGCGATACATACATGTTTTACCATCATAAGTGCACTCTTTAATAGCTTCACTAAGCTAGCGAAACTAGTCCTTATTACCACCGCTTCACTAGCAGTACTAATGAAGCTGTTTGCCAGCTAGACTTGACTTTGTGATGGAAATGGCGCATACGAGTTGTTAAGGGATAAGAGTGAACTTTGAGACTAGCTGACTGTTAAACCGTCTTACTTCGATTTTGCTAGAGTGACTTTTACGATAGTGTTGCGCTTTTATGTATTATAATGGATGTTATGTCTTCTGACAATATTTTCTGCTATTTTACCATTCACATGTATAAATCTTCTTTCTTTAGATTTTTGCAAATTTTTTTCAAGTGATGGTTACATTGGTATGATTATTTCCCGAATTTGCAAATTAAGCTGGCATAACGTACACTCAATATATTTGAAGTCGGGATCCCACTGAATCTACTTCGCTCTTTCTTCAAGTTTCGCCTCTGATATGGCAGATCTCAAGTTGTCAGAACTCAAGGAGTACCGCGAGTGCCGACTTTTAGATCATCCACCTATATGGTTCATTCTGTATGACGATAATATCAACTTTCATGTTGTGTTTTATCAAAACTTTACTTATCTAAATCCGCTGAGAGTTCGCGAAAGTTCAGTATAAAGAAGGAAGTAGGATTAGTGCAATAAATTGACAAGGGTACTTCAAATTCTATTATATTTAGAAATTTGATTAACGGATTATAAATGGACCACGCTGACGCTCGTCAAGGGCGTAAGAAACCCTAGTGGTAAGTAGGGAAAAAGCTCAAGACGAACGTTAATACAATCTATATATATATGAACAAACTATAATATAATTAATCGCAAACCTTCATACAATTACACACAACGTAACACACTTACACACACACCTTGACGAAACGCAGAGAGCTCTCGGATGATGTGCGCAGATACTACGATGCCGCAGCGAATGTGGATGAGTGTACCACTAAGGTGACCACCTAAGGCGACCTTGACGTCTCGAGGACGGGGACAGCCCTCGCCGCCACGTGGAATTTGGGCGCAGCGGCCGCGTGGAGGTAATGCTCTCGGGGACGCGCTAGGGCGTGACCCACTACAGCCGCGTAGGGCTGAGTCCAACGCTTCACGGGCTTGCACTACACGCACTCGTTTAACACTCACACGCAGTATTAACGCACTGCCCTGATCAAATGAACGTAGCTATGATGAAACAAGAGAAGAGACTGAGTTATCACTTCGCCAAGCAGGATTGTGAAGCGACTCTCTCGCTGGTTATCGACAGACTAACTCGCTGCGCCCTGTCAGAAAACGATGACGAGTTCTCTCCTTTGTCGCCAAGAAAATTAAGGGAAAGTTTCGGGTGTTTGGGTCAGTCGTGCCGCGCCAGACGTTATCAGCTTGCCATCGCAGAGTGTTGCATCTGCTCGACACGTGTGGGCACCACACTGACAATATGTGCTACACCTGTACCGTTTTTTTTGGCGAGGTTGTCTCGTGGTTAGATTTCAGAGATTAGTGCTCGTCGACCACATAGCACTTTCTCCTTTACTAATTACTAATACAATAGGGTAAAAGAGAAACGCTGCATCTCTGAACATGTCGCCCGCCTTCGTCGACTAGACGAATATACAATATAGAATAACACACTGCAACTTAAGATAAAGACGCACATACATAGATAAATTGTCATAAGACTTCGATGTTTACATCTTGTTCCCCAAGGTTTCCTTATCCGGTGGTTCGAGAGAAAGAGGCGATAAACGGGCGATATGCCGGCGTAATAGACTGTTTGCAGTTTTGACCGTGACTACCCGCACTAAATTATCAGAACCGGGATGTACTTCGATTATACGGCCTGTGGCCATTTGGAAGGGGGGTATCGGTCATCCTTAATCAGAACTAATTGTCCTACTTTGAAATTTTCGTTAGGATTTCGCCATTTTCCTCGCTCCTGTAGATGTTGCAGGTAATCAGTAGACCACTGCTTACAAAACTGATTTCTCATTCGCTGCATCAGTTGATAGCGATTTAGTCGATTCTCGGGAACAATCGGAGGTTTCTCGTCAGGGTTGACAGCTAATGTATCACCTATGAGGAAATGCGCTGGAGTTAACACATTCAGATCGGCTGGGTCGGCATTCAACGAACACAACGGTCGCGAGTTTAAGCAGGCTTCAATTTCGGTCATGACTGTAGAGAGTTCCTCGAAGGTTAAAGTATGCTCGCCGATGGCTCGTTTCATGAGATGTTTTGCTGACTTGACGCCAGCTTCCCACAAGCCGCCGTAGTCAGGGGTGTTAGGTGGTATGAACATCCACGTAGTCCCGTCATTAGCAAGAGCGGTAGCAATCGTTGAGTAGAATTCAGAGACTGCATGAAATATCTCCATCAAATCGGCATCGGCTCCTCTAAACGTTGTAGCATTGTCACTGTATAAGTTCCTGCAAATTCCACGACGACTCACGAAGCGACAGAAGGCCGTGATGAAAGCATTAAAAGTTAGATCACTGACGACTTCCAAGTGCACAGCCTTCGTAGCAAAGCAAATAAACAATGCGATATAGCCTTTATATGATTTTTGCCCTCGGCCCTTAGAAGTACGCACTTGAATTGGCCCGGCGTAATCGATGCCGGCCGTCGTAAATGATCGAGCAGGTGTTACACGAACCGTTGGAAGGTCGCCCATGAGTTGATACGCTGTACGAGGTTTTTGACGCTGGTATTTAACACAGTTGCGTATGGTAAATTTAATTAGGGGTCGCGCTCGCAAAATCCATTCATATTGCGTTACAAAATTTGCTGTGAGAGTGGGACCACCGTGAAGCGCAATGCGATGGGCCCAACGTACAAACAAACGACTAAGTACAGAGCTTCGCGGTAAGACAGCAGGATGCTTTCGTTCGTATGACAACAGAGAATTTGTCAGTCGTCCACCAACGCGCAAAAGACCATTGATTTTGCAAACAATAGGATTTAGATTGCATAGCGCATTGCCCTTGGGAAGTGGTCGACCTTGCTTCAGAATTTGAATTTCGCGAGCAAAGAAACAAGACTGAGCACATCGAATAAGTGCTATTCTGGCATATGTAAGTTCCGCGGCAGTGAGTGCAGAAGGTAATGGTAGCAGCCCATCCCTTTGCCTACGTAATTTTTTAAGAGGTCGCAAGCAGTACGCCGTAACACGAGTTAAACGCGACAAATCCGAGTATCTGGAAAGAAAGTCAGGTTCACTTGTCTTTGTTAGGTTGTGCAATACTTTTACGGCTATCTGCGATTGGGGTAGTTGACTGGGTGGGCGTGTGAGCCATGCTGGCCCATACCACCATAAATCGCTCGACTTTAATTCGCAAGGTGTCAGGCCACGAGTGGCCAGATCTGCCGGATTTTTCTTTGTAGAAACGTAAGACCACTTAGCACTGGGCAACTTAGTTTGAATAAGTGACACGCGGTTTGCCACGAATGTCTTCCAATGACAGAGATGTTTAGCGAGCCACGTAAGAACTATTTGACTATCCGTGTACAAAGACATAGGTGCTACCTTGAGAAAATCTAGTTTTCTAAAATGATTTACGAGTCGAACTAACAGTGTCGCGCCACACAACTCAAGATTCGGTATGCTAACCGTTTTAACTGGAGCTACCTTCGTTTTTGAACCGAGCATTGATATACGTGCTTGTCCGTCTTTATTGATAATGCGAATGTAAACTACGGCAGCATATGCGCGAGCAGAGGCATCGGAAAAGCTGTGTATTTCATACGTAAGATTAGAGGACAATCCGAACCAACGATTGATAGAGACTTCAGACAGACTGGTGAGAGAGAGACGATAATGTAGCCAACGTTCGCGCAATTAGACCGAAAGTGGGTCATCCCAACCACTTTTCACTATCCATAGATCTTGCATTAAAATTTTAGGAATCACCGTAACCGGAGACACCCACCCCAATGGATCGAACAAACGTGCCGTATCGGAAAGGATCGACCTTTTTGTTATTGTTTCATTTGGTTGCTGAAATTTAACGGCACTAAATTTGAATTTATCGAGAGTCGGATCCCACAACACACCGAGTGTTTTAACAATACTGTCGCGATCAATTGCT